CCAAGTTCCTTGACCAATCATAGTGCAGGTGAGTCTAAATAAGAAAACATGGTTTTGTCGAAACTTTCCTCACTTTATGACTATAAAGTAAGAAAAACATACATTACGAAAACATTTACAATTACATAAACAGTGAGACCACAATTGATCTAGTATTAATTTTTGATATAAATAAGGATGCTAGATCAATTTTAGTCAGATCTTTTTAATTGATTTTGCGATGTTGTTTCTTCATAAGCCCTAGTATCGTGTTCGACCATCATCGACGTGAGGTACCCAGCAAGCATAAGATACAAGTCAGTGTTACGTGTAGTTTATATTGGAGTTTATCTTACTCTCATTAGATCCTGTATTTCCTTTCGCGTTCGAGAATCTGGTACAAAACAAAACAATACCAAAATATTCACACAAAAGTCTAATATGACTGCTGTTCTTATATTTCTTATAGTTTCTAATCGGAATCAAATCGTTACCTCAAACGAATACAACTTAAGATTCGTTTGGCAATCTAGTTTTTGTGTACCTTACCATGACAGACTCGTGAGACCATTTTTTCGCTTGTAAATCGAGGACAACTGACAGTCCACGGGTTTATTTCAAAACTAAATTGTCCTATCGTAATTTTAGATATTTATTTATTTTATATGCTTTATGCACAAAATGTACAAATAGGTGGAAAATGTATAAACATTTTTAAATCTTTATATATTTGTGTCCAATATAGTCGACCTGAGGAAGGCAAGTACCGTACCCAACTCTGTAGCTAAACCACGACCACATTAGAAGTAAAACCTAACTAGAGCTTGCAAACAAACACACATACCAATTAACTCATCGTGTCTAAACGTGGATCCACGCGAGACGCGAGACACAATGTATTTAAGTAATATTGTGTCTTATATACCATTCGAGCGGTTAATCCTTTTTATGAAATTGAATTCCAAACGGTTGGGAAAATAGCAATAGACGTAGGTATAAATATAGAGTAACTGACCTTACCAGCTAAGCAATCCATCAAACTATTTTAGCTAATTGCTAGTTAAGTCGACGCAGTCCATTTCGAAGTTGACTCAATCAACTTGAAACGGACACGCTTCAAGTGCTACCAGTTTAATAAAAAGTATGAAGAAAAACTTGAATGTTTTTATAATAACTATCGTGAGACATACTAAATTAACTAAAAATCGCGGGTTACTCACGTGAATGTACTGAGAAAAGCGGTCGCGGCGATGTCGCGCAGCCTACTGTACTACTGTACTGTGCTCATGAGGAAGAATCCTTCTGTGGTTCGAAACTAGTAGAGCATTTCTCAGTATATTCACGTGAGTAACCCGCGATTTTTGGTTAAAAAACTTGAATGTTTCATTTACGAGGGAAAATTAAAAGGACCATATAACAAAGTAAGCTTGTTCTTTGACTGGGGAAAATTATATTGTTATGTGGCTTATCTGGATTGGTCTTATCTCTAATATCTACTAATGATTAAAATCATAGACTTTCTTGTCCGATTTTCTCCACGCTTCGCTGCGATTTGAGCTAGATTCACTTTCATGACTGACTGACCGTTCCAACTTCTAAGAATACCGTTTTTAGGGATTTATATACGTTAACATGCTTTGGATATTTTGGATTTACAAAAAGTTTAGCCATATTTTATAGTCTATCTATCTGTCGATTTGCTTACTGATAAGAATTCTGACATAAGCTCCATACAAAATGTGTCAAAATTCTATCTCAATAAGCAAATTTACAGATAGATAGGATATAGAAAATGGCCGTCAATGAACTAAGTGTCTTAAGAGAGATTTGGCTACTAGAGCATTATTTTCTTTTAAAATTCTATAATTTAGTCACATTTTGTGTGGTCCTCAGGTAAAGAAGCCAAACAACTAAATCATAGCTTGTAGTAACAACATCTCCAATTTATGTTCTGTGGTAACTATAGATAAACAAATCGTTAACTGGCAATAAGTATACGTCCATCTAATTCTTTTTTAAAGTTTTTTTTTAATTTCTCCATCGCTGACACGACATTCTTAGTCAGATCCCGCTCCGAATTCACAATACACTTTTGAGCAAACGAATTAGCGTGGCAATTAAACTGGGTCTTTGATCATGGGAACAAAACTGGTTGCTATAATCTAGGGCAGGATCATAAAACTACTCACAGTAGAATAAATAGACAAACAGTGGTCTCAATTCTATAGTTTATTGTCTATGTTGGAGTAATACTCATGGTGATGGAATTTGTAAACGTTTACGTAGTAGTTTAGTTTAATTTGTTATACCCAGATCAATTTTATTGTTGTAATGATATGACATCAGTGAGAGTTCCTGAGGTAATAAATTGTTGATATTTTGATTTTTACTTTGTCACTTTCAAGTGAATCCTTTCATTGTTCTATTGGTGTGTACTATACTAATACTACAAAGGAGAACGATTCGATTGTTTATTTCTTTGCTTACATTATTCGTTGTATTAAATGAATTTGACCAATTATTTCACTATTAGGAAGTACCTACCTATACCTGCTTTTCCGAAAGTATAATAGACTTCTTTTTTATGCCCTGGTTTTTGCAAGATCAGCATTTGGTACGTACTTAAGATTATTTTCTAAATTGAATACAAGTAAAGCAGTAAATGAAATGCCAGTTTTATTAAGTTAACTTGTATACTGATAGGTGCAATAATAGTATACGTAAATAAATTATATGTTTGAGACCTTCATATGTCGCAATACTACTTTGCTTGGCCGAGAAGCTTAAACCGGAACCTTTTGTTGAGCTATCATTTACGACCATGACTGGTAAAACGTTTCAAGTAAGAGTTTAACAAAAATATAATGAGGTATGTTATAATCGTAGCAATTGGCGTTCCATAGTCCCTGCTTACCCTGGGAGACAGGCGTAGCGTTACGTATGTATGCTTAAAAATATATACTATATACTTAGAATAATTTCATTAGTTAACTGAAAAGATTTTAATGGAGAACGGGTCAAAACCAAAAGGTCATTATTTACAAGACGCATAAAGTTATAACTGCAGTTTTGACAAGACACGGTATTTCATACAGAACCTATCAAAGATAGGCTCAACTCGGGAGACCTTGAAAGAATAACTAACGCAATATTAGACATGATATAAGCCAATGCACCCCTTAACCTTCAAACAAAACCATATAAAAAGTAAAAGCGGATATTTATGGTGCAAAATGGCTTCACCATGCAGAACACGGTCAGCCACGGTTGGCAGCGTCCCCACACGTAATTCGCGAAATAATTATCATAATAAGCAATGGACAATGGCAGTAGCAATCATTAGCTGTATCTAATTATCTTCTACTAATATATATAGGGCACATGAATTTGTGATTACTGTAATTAAAATTATCAATGTAAATTATATTAAAAAATAAACGCCCACATATTGAAAGGTAAATCAATTTTGAGTTTGTTAAATCTTTTGCCTTCTTTGTCATTTTACACGTAATTTGTAGTGACAAACTATACTTATTACTTAAACTAACATTGTTCTCGCACAATCCAAACAATTAAACTATGTAACTAGATAGTTGTATTGTAAACCTGATCGGAAAAGAGTAACCTATGGAGTTTCTTGCTCGTTCTTCTCCATAGGAATCTACACATTGGAGTGAGCAGATAGCTTCACTTTTAATTTTTTGTTGGCGTTCAAAAGTGCTTTTCTGGTCTAATTGAAACAAATTATTTTGATTTTGACTTTGACATTGGCGATATTGGGACATTAAAAATTAAAAGTGGGTTTAGACATCCAAAGTAAAGTATTGAATTGGATAACATTCCCAGAAGCCTGACCGCCACTGCGACAGCACGTAATTGTCCACGACCGAACCATTATGGTTTTCCTCTATATCTCCCTCTTTAAAACCCCTGGTGATTGCCAGGATCTTCACGCATGGTAGGCAGGTTAAAGAATGCAGTGAAAAAGTTCGATCAGGGCCTGCTGTCATCTTTGCAACGTTATTGTATGCCAATAGTAACCTTCTGCCTGAAGAAATAGCCAGTCTCTCTAGTCACATGGAGAGCGGACTAGTCTACTGGTAATTTATATATTTAATAACAATATTATCTATATTTAGTGTTTACGTCATTCCTTTGGTTTTAAAATGCTACCTTTATTGTGGGTAAACTATGTTTTAATTGTTAATTGTTTTCCTGATCGTGGACTTTTTTGTTACTTAATTGCATTCTTATGTAAACCTTCTTTGCTTGGCTGTTTAAGCAAGTTAATGAGGTGGAATCTTATTTATTTTATTAAGTAATTAATATGTTAAAGTTGACGCTCATTTTCGTGTGTATGTTTTCTGTATGTTGGTAGGAGAAAGGGGAAGAATCATCGTCAAGTGTTTTATAGAATACCTGGCAGCAGAAACACACACATCATGAAGTATGTCTCTTGAAATATGGCATATTTATGACTTATTTTTTTGTTGGTAAATTGGTTAAATATATGAGAAAGTTACGCTAATGGACAGGTTAATAGAACAATATAAAAATATATATATATATATATATATATATATATCAACTGAATTAGTATGATAATGGATAAAATACAATATAAATTAACTTAAGAGTACATGATAAATTATAATATGAGTAGAACTTAATGAACTTAACATATAAGTTTTCGCGCATGCGCCGCATAAAAATGGTAAGGATATAGGTACTGAGTCATAAGTTAACAAAATACCTATCTGACCAATGAGCAAGCTTCCTAACATAGCTTATTATTAGTGTATAATATAAATGACTGGCTTGGAATATTTGACTATACCACTACCATCAGACAGTGTTTAACACCGTAGGAAATAATACTTTCAGTTCACAAGTTTCGTAAAGGGCTTTATTACATATCATAGCAATTTAAACGGAGGCTATATCTATCTTACATTAGTATCTCACTATAACCGCGGTTTTTCGCTATAATAAAGGAACGGATTGTGCATTGTTCCACTCACCTTGGGCCAGAGCCGGCGAAAGAGCGCTCCAAATAACGAGACAAAAACACAGAAACATTTTGCAACCGTCTTTAGGACTGACAAACATCACTTGTTCATGACGTCACACACACATGCACTGACAAAAATTCCAATATTCTAAATTCAAACGATGGCGCGAAAGTTTAGCACTTAGTTCGCGGTGTTGCGTCGGGACAGTGCGGGTAACACGACACTCTCGAGTATTCGCGGCGGACTGAATCGCCGCCTGCGCCGCTGTCTGCCCCCACCACGAGACGCCTTTCACCGTTACAATTCGTAACTCGAAAGACTGTTGAGCAAGGCTATATGACGATTGACATTCAACAAAAACGGCCCATTTGCTACACGGAAATAGTGTGTTTACTTCTAGTGTAACTACTCCATACATGGACACGTTGTTAAGAACTAATACGGATCTCTACTCCAATTAAAATATATTTAAATTGGCACAAACAATAATTATTATTCCTCTTTTTAGGTCATAACGCTTTATACTGTTCGTGAACAAATTGGTCCCCTTTCTTTACAACCCTACCATTGCTATAAAGGGAGGGAAATTAATACCAGGTCTGTGTCTGACTGACGTATTAAATTACTGCAACCGTTGAAAGGGTTGCCTAGTACTTAAACGAAGTGCATGCTGTTTTTTTATTTAAATTAGTCAATGACTAATAACAGAGCTAAGTTCTCATCAGTGCTTTTGTCCTTGTTAGGTTTATAAAACTATTTCATTAGGTACTATGACAAGAGTTCAATAGAAATATAATTTATTTTACTTTTGTCAAAGCTTGTTTAACGTTACTACAGTGATTAGAAGAATCTATAAATACCAATAATAAAGCTATTACTCATAGGCACTTAATGGGTACTTTTGAAAACACCTTCCAATAAAAGTTGCAACAACCAATCGATGCAAGAGTCATTCACCTCTACGTATTACTAATATTGCAATAAAAATCCACTAGAAAGTTATCCAACTTATAAGTAACTTTCATTGTCCAGTGCGTATAATTAATATCCTAACACATAATCTCGAAAGCGAAAACGATAAATTATGAATTAAGTATATGTTATTGTATAGTTATATGTAAACATCACTATTGTAATACGCTTTATTTTACTATAGTATTTTTATTTACTCGGTCATATATTATATGTTGTGTAGGTAGATAATATTAATTCGTCAAAAGTTTTGACGCTGCGGGATACTTAATTGAGACCGAAATAGAAAACAATGAAAATTTCCTTAAATCTGCGTTTTTATAATGGGTTACTTATCTACTATCGGTCACAGGATTTCGGCCAAAGTAATCACACAGGGCTAAAAAATTAGGTTTCACTTTTCCAATATCTAACTAAAATTACTTCATTGTGTATCTGCGTTTCCACTTTACCCTTGAAAATTTGATAAATTGTGAATATGTTACGCTGAAATACTCAAACGCTATTCAATTTTTAATCCCGCTTCAATAATGCTACCATAGATGGCACCGTACTCTTACGATTATTATCTAGATGGTATTACTTTTTTTTAAGGGAGGATAATCGTCGAATGACTGCTCCCGCCTGGGTGAGGCGCGAGGGAGTGTCAGACTCTTACTGACTAAAAACCACCCTGTTCCTCCTTCTGCGCTTCGAGCCGGAGCCCCGGTAACTCGTTAGGTTCTCCGCGACTTCGAATCAGCATCAGCCCTGTTGGGACTTATCCGTGGTGGTCTGATGGTTCTTTGAGGCGCGCGCGGAACGCGGGTCGTCCTGATCGGACGATGAGCTACCCTTGCTCGCCGTCCGCAGGCCCGATCTATGGTATTACTATGTGAAAGATTTTTATTTAGAATTGTCAAAATAAGAAACGCATATAAGGAAAACTGAATTAAAACAAATAAAAGGGAAAATGGAATAACTATAAATAATAGGTTTACTCGGTGATAGGATACTTATTAATGTGTAATTTGCTAGCGGTACCTAAGTATTTTATGTTAAATAAATTCTTGGATTTACAAATTGTTTATTCATCATCATAGATCATTTTTATCAATAGCCTATAAATGCCCACTGCTGAGAAAAGCTTCTTCTCACACGGAGAAGGTACGAACATTAACCACCACGCTTGCTCAATTCGGGTTGCCGATTGCAAACTTATAATTTAAAATTATAAGCCGAGGTTTCCTCATGATGTTTTCCTTCACCGTTTGTCAGTGGTGTCTAAATAATCTTAGAAAGTACATCGGAAAATGTCTTGGTACTTGCCGTTGGTAGGTTTGGAACCCGTATGCATGAGAAGCTGGCGTTTAAATTTTCGAGCGCAACGACATATGGTTTATTATAATTTCAAAATTTAAAAAGCTAGCCAATTACAACGTTTTATTAAACGACGATTTATGCTTTAACTACCAAAATAACTCTACTACGAAAAAAATCATTCAATTGGAAAGATTAATTAGAGCATATTTTCATTTCCGATTGCGATACGTTGTAAGTACCAATTAGTATCTGATTTAATTATTTTTCCGTCCAATTTATCTTGTAAAACGTATGAAAATATTTTTTTGGAACTATATTCACGTCACTGTTCGAATGCGCGTAACATAATATTGGTTTCATTCATTCGCTTTAAAAACTAGTAGATTGATAGTATAAAACAATGTTTAGCAACACAAAAATTATGTTAGTATCGATTCTCACCTTTATAATATGTATATAATACGAACCTATTTCATTAAATTTCAACCATACTGGTTTTTTATGTGATAAACGAGCACGGATCACCTGATGGTAAACAATCAGCATCACCCATGGGCACCTGGAACACCAGAGGCGTTACAAGTACGTTGCCGGTCTTTTGGAGTTTAGGAATTGGAGGATTGTTGGGGATTCAAGGATTGGGGAGATTGGGGAAGGAAGGGGGAATTGGGCCCCTCACTCACACGACGAAATACGTTGTTTCTCGTCGCCATTTGCAAAGAAAGTTTATCTTACTAATATTATAAATGCGAAGTTTGTGAGTTTGTATGTGTATTACTCAGTCACGTTCAGATCGGATTGAAATTCAGAACAGGGATTCATATTATGATCTGAAATAACACAGGCTCCTTTTTATTTTACGGAAACGCGGGCGAAGGCGCGATAATAAGTTAGTAGGGTTTTTTTATTTTATTTTTTTTGAGGTGAAAAATCATCCAATGGCTTTTCTCGCCCGGGTGAGGCGAAAGGGAGTGTCAGACTCTTATTGATTAAAAACCCCGTTCCTACTAAAGTGTGCAGAGGTGCAGGACTTCGTGCCGCAGCCCCGGCAACCCTTTAAGCACTCCTCGGAAGTTAGTAAGCTAGTAGTATAAGGTATATGAAATGACGCTCGACTATTACATTTATTGATTAAATGTTCAATGTCACTGTTACTGAAGGCAAGCTGAAATCATTCTTCCGCTTACTTCGAGGTTTCTTGTGATTTATCGATTTTATTGATTGTTGCTATTATTGCGTTTACTACTACTTACTTCAATGTCAAAGAAAATATGCTCAATCGGAAAGAGATATTTTCTATCATAGTAAAGGAAAGTTTAAGATAATTGTCTGAAAACTAACACATCAAGTGCTAGTTGGCCAATTTCTGACCCTGTGTCTTTATCGAACATTTTCGCAAAGACGAAAAAATGAATCGTTCTTCCCGGAAACAAAACTCGGAACTTCATACTCGACAATCGCAACCACGGCTAGGTACTTGACATACTACTTGATGTTGCTGTCGCAATAATATATAGTTTTAGAAATATAAATAAATATATAGATACTTCTGCCACTGCCTATAAAAACTGGCATTATGAAATTATTATGTAAAACTGAAACAAATATTCAAACGTGTTTCATAAATATTATATTTTATTATACAGCACACGGCCACACATCAACCTATACAAAACCAGTTTATCCTGGTGTCGCGTCGCATCATCTTTACGCACATTTAACGTTCAGTTTATACTGGTTATGTAAAGCTCGATGTGTAGCCGTGTGTAGCTACAGCCATTTCAATTTACCGTCGACATTGATCAAATGCGAATCGTTTTCAGAATTATGAATATTCATGGTAGTTACATAGTGCTAGTCGGAATTATGTTCCATAAAACTTTAAAATGTTCTGTAGGGTTCGTTGCGAGAAAGGTGCTGACAAGAACTTAACACTTTTTTTAAGGGGTCAAGATCATCGAATCACTTCTCCCGCCTGGGTGAGTCGGGAGGGAATGTCAGACTCTTACTGACTAAAAACCACCCCGTTCCTTCTCCTGCGCTTCGAGCCGGAGCCCCGGTAACCCGTTAGGTTCTCCGCGACAAGAACTTGGCACTTGGATTCTTCATTGTGACCATCTGTCATAAACTTGTGCAAAGACACCTGAATACTGAAAGGTTACTCAATTTTAAATTACATATATACATAACATCACGCCTTTTACCCCCGAAGGGGTAGGCAGAAGTGCACATTATATCACTGTAAAATGTAACACTCACTTTTTACTATTTATATTATGAATCCCATGTAATAGGCGGTGAGCCTGTTGCCATATACCGGGCACATTTCCAGACTCCGTGCTACTACTGAAATTTTTTAAAACTAATACTACCAGTAATAGTTTGCCCGACCCAGGAATGGAATCCGAGACCCCTTGCCCGGCAGTCGCACTTGCGACCACTCGGTTAACGAGGAAGTCAATTTTAAGTTGTATTTAAATATCGTGCTATCTCTGTTATTTAACAAAAAAATGTAGATACAGAGCTAAATTTGGAACAGCTTCTGTAAAGCAAGCGAAGTCGCTGGCAGAAGCTAGTCTTAATAAAGTTTTAAGGTCTCCGTCTTCGTCAAAGAACTATTGGAAAAGTGTAGGCTATAGTCCAGTAAGGAAGCCACTACAGAGCCCAGTGTCTGAGCAAACAACTCGACTTTGTCATTTTTATCAATTCCATCTTTTATTTACACTTCCTGGTGTTCTAACAGTTATTTGCATTTTTTATTTAAAACGTGTTTCTGCATAATTGGTTTCAGAAAGTATTTGAGTACACTACTGAAAGCATGGCGGTTTATGTCGATAATGGAAACGCAAACTATATGGAATTTTATTTTGTTGTTATTGTTTATTTCGATATTGGCACGTGTTCCTATTGCATGTATCTGTATTTTTTTTATTTAAAATCGCATTTAGTATTTCTTATATATAGGTATGT